CGCGTACTCGTGTTTCCATATCCAGTTGAATATCCGGACCAACATGTTAATCATCCCCCCCCCCCCCTGTTTCAAAAGCTCATTCACCAAATTCCATTAGCCCCTGCCGCTTTTCTATTCCTGAGTTTCGCTACGCAATCCTCTACCTCTTCTCGTGTGAACTCTCCCTGCAACCCGTCTATATCACCACGTTCCCTCCGAGATCTTTCAACGTTTTCCTCTACCCACGAGTTGATTTCCTTCTCAAACTCCGAGTCGAAGTTGTCGTTGGTGGTGGGTGTCCCAAGTTTGCGGTAGTGCTCTACTAGTACTTCCCGCTTTCCTTTAGAACTGCTTACCATCTTACCCTCGGCAGATCTTAGTGTCGTTATTTCCGTGTCTCCCCCTCTTTTGTTGCCCACTATCCCTTGAATTCCTACCCACATTTGCTTCATCCCCCCCTCAAAATCTTCGTTAGTCTTTTGGACTACTTCCTCCCACAACCCTTTCTTCTTCTTCACGACCAGTTGGGGGGGGGGGGGGCAACACCTTCCGGACATATATCTCGTTTAGTATCTCGTTAGCCTCACTTCTTTGTGCCCTGGGCTGCGCGAGACGCGTCCCCGGAAAACCAAAACGCCAAACTACTTCACACCAGCAGCCTAAACATTCAGTACACACAGCAGGCACAGCACATGCATAGAAGCACAGCAGGCAACCCATCTGTTGCTGCTGGGCTGCATGTTTGCTACTGTAACCAACGCAAACGGTTGCTATGCCATGAGCTATACAGCAGTACCACGGGGTTGCCCGCGCAGCAACCACTGTATTACGTTCGTAGCAGCTCTCTGCTGCTGTGCTTCTTCTCGGTTACGAACCGCAGAGCAGCGTCGATGCACAACCCTCTCCTCCAAGCGTGTGCATCAACAGGTACAACCACACATCATGCGCGCACGCATACCATACTGAATCGTCATCACAGCAGTTGCTGCACGTCTCTCTTCGCTCGTACTCTCTGCTCTGTCTCTCTGTCTCCTACTCGAATTCGCCACGCTGACTCTCAAACTGCTGCTGGGGCACGGGACAACTCCATACCCCCTAATTACATTATGTTCATGCGTACGGGGGGAGGGGGGTCAAACTCAAACGGACGGCAACACTCCTCCTGCCCGGCTCGCTGCTGCCGTCGACGCTCGTGCGGAGCCGACTTCATGTATCGCTGCCCGGGTATGCTGCTGCTCTCTTGCAACTCTTCGGTATCAGATTGCTTTCGACTCTTCTTGCCGTGAGCTCTATGCCGATGCCAACCATAAACTCAGAGGCCTTCCTCGTTGATGATGTGTTGAGTGATTACCGTTTCGAACACACAATCCGAGCACTTAGCCTGCAGGAGCGCCTTGCCCTTATCCTGGACCGAGGCACATTGCAAGGACAGCATCGGGAGCTTCAGAACTTAATCTGTCCGAACAACCTCGTCATACCTCGGGAGCTACTGAGGACCGTCCCGTGCAGAGGAGATGGCACTGTGGCTATCATTCTCTTCTGAACGGATTGAACGTGGTAAGAGGACAGGTACGCATACGCAAACTTTAAAACTTTAAATTTTCAGACCCCCGTCGATCGCATGCCCATAATACAGCAGTATGTGTGGATACCTATGTGCAAACCTTACAGCATAGTCTGTGTCATGTCTGTGTGCAAACCTTTCTTGCAGCAGTGCAAGCCCTAGCAGTCTGTGTGCCGTGTCTGTGTACAACCCGCTGGTTGCTGGCTGACTGTCTCGACTGTTCTAAATAAATGTATGTGTCATGTGCCTGTGATAGGAAATTTGCATGTATCATCTGTAGACTACTGCCTGCTGTGTGTGTTGGTGTGTCTCCCAATCCGATCATTGGGATGAGGTATACTGCTGTTGGTGAGTGTGTCTCCTATTATAACAGCAGACCTTCACTGCTGCTGTGTCCTTACTCCTTAACTGTGTCGTTCTGTCACCGGGTGCTCTTATCTAACTATCAATATACTCAGCACCCCTAACATCCCCTCCTCGGGCATCTCCACGCCGTCTTCTGGTCCTGAAGGCCACAAAATACGAGCATCGGAACGCCGACATCGGTAGCCTTAAGGATGTCGTCGCTGAAATCTACGTGAACCACGTCACCGGCGGTCGCGCTACCTCCGTCGCCCACTTGAGACGCTGGGAAGACACCGCGGCTTCGTTGGAGGCAGAGATCAACGAGCAGGACGTAGACCATAAACGCCCGGCGTGGGTCGAGGTTGAGCTTACGACCGGCAAGGGGAGGGAGAGCACTGTCAAAATACAGCCCTTCGAGGACAAAAGCGTATGGATGCCCTACTGCAGGGGGGTAGTGGTCAGCGGCGCGTACATCGTTAAGCAGTGGCCTTTCATGGTCGCTGCTTGCATGACCGTACACAGAGTGCAAGGGGTATAGGGTTCGAAAGGGTGGCCGTGTGGATTCTTTCTAGAGGGTTCTTCGCCCAGGGTCAGGGGTACACCGCCGTGTCCAGGGGGAAAACTCTAGACGGCCTGTTCCTCGTGTTACCAGACGATCTCTTGCAGGACAGAGAGTTAGCAAGAGAGTTCCTCAAGGAGGCGTTCCAACCGCCCATCGATGCCATCAACGCTCTAGCCGACATGCGACAAAAGGCACCGGCCACTGTTACGGTTAACGTGAGGGGTCGAGGAGTTGCGTACGCTACACTGTGGGACGAAAGACGGTCATACAACGCCCCAGACGGGTGGGCGGGTGTGTGGCCTGGAGTTCTGTACAACGGTTTGGGTGGGGCAACGCGTGTCGAGGGGGAGTATGCACTTGCTGAGCGGTCGAACTATTGATCCTCTTGTGCAATATAGCCAAGTGGCTACGAACGAAGAGAAGAGAGGCACACCGGTGTGTGACGAAGCACATAAGGAACTCCTCGAGAGGGGGAACATGACGCTGCTGCTCATGAGCTGCCTTTGAGTACATGCGAGCAACACGGCACTCCTGTGACGCACACTGCACGACCCTCGAATCCCCGTTAAGTGCCTTCGAGCGAATCGAGTCACACGGCACTGTGACCGCACACTGCACCGCGCCCGAAACCCCGTGAAGTGCTTTCGAGCGAAGCGAGTCACACGGCACTGTGACCGCGCACTGCACGACGCTCGAAACCCCGTTAAGTGTCTTCGAGCGAAGCGAGTCACACGGCACTGTGACCGCACACTGCACCGCGCCCGAAACCCCGTGACGTGTCTGCGAGCGAAGCGAGTTACGATGCCACTCACTATGTCTTACTCCAAAACCATTACACCAACAACACACCAAACCAGGCTATGAATTTTTCTTCAACCCAAGAACAGACAGACAGACGCCAGCTGCCCTTCTTCCTAAAAATATGAAAAGACCTTCCTGACGTAGGGTCGAAAAGTCGAAAGTAAGTACCATTTTGGTGGTGGCCATAAACTGGCCGTTTCGGGAGGTAAATCCCAAACCGTGTCTGCTCTGACGTTCTCTCACCTACGGGGGCCTTCTGTATGGGCGTGTAGCGCGGTGTCGCCAGCGGCGATCTGACGCCATGGCCGAAGCAACCAATGGGAGGACCAATAGACACACGCATGCGTTTGGTGTGGGCTTCGGGGGTTCGACGGGCGCGTGTTGTATACGAAGAGAAGTCACCAAAACACAGCGCCGCACATAATGTCACCAACAGAGCACAGCGTAGCAACAGTGGCTGCAGCTATTTAGCTGTGATTGCTCCTCCTGCTCGGTGTCGCTCGAAACCACTCTTCGCAGGTTTGGAGAATGGCGCTCGTACGCTCGTCTGTACCCCGCTCACACCCACCCGGGTTGCTGCGTTTCCGTTATTGGCAGCTCGATTTTGAGGTTGGCGGCGTTCAGCGTTCAGCGTTCAGCAACATCCACTCTACGTGACAGTCCCGCCCAGGAGAAGTTCGCGAATTCTCGGAACGCCTCTTTTAATGTTTGGGTGCCTGCGGTTGGTTTTTTTTCGGGCCTTGGGCCAGGGCCAGGTGGTCGGGAGTTTGGTGAGCTACGGCAGACGGCTGTTGCGCGGCCGAGAAAGATGGGCTCTCTTACGTATGCACAGACGTGTTGTCCCGGGCATGCCGGGCTGTGATCCGCTGTCTACAGAGCTGCTATTTCGTGGGTATTGCATAATTCAGCTCTTCTATTATTGTTGGAACAAGCTTAGTTATATTCTGAGAGTCTCGGTGCCGAGTCTGGAGTTCAGACTCTGAGACGATTATTCTCCGGAGCACGATATGTGAGAAATTAAGAAACAGTCTAATGTCCAAGCGGAGATCATCGCTTTTTGGATCATCCGCTGCAAAAGATATGGAGTATCTACTACTGTGTCAAGAATCGAGATATCCACACCCCATGTTGGATGTTGGAGTAGCCGAAAATGAGGGAGGAATATACTGTAGTAACCATGCATGCACACATGCACACACACTGCTGTGCGAGATGTCACCCTCTCTTCTGCTGTGATCTGATCGGATATGTGAACTTCTGTATTTTTATTGTTCCAGAATGTTTTGCTGTACTGCTGAACAGAGATACTGCGATCAGTTTGCTGTGGCATACGTCAAAGAAGGAAAGAGAAGTTGGATACCGCCTCCGTTATACACTTCGCGCGCTTTGGCCCTTTTTGGCCCCTACGGATCCTTTCACCAGGCGACCACTTGTGCGACCGTCACCCCCCCGGAACCTTGCCACCACCAACAACGCCGACTACATAATATCGTCCTGAGCTTCATCAGATCTATCTGCAACCTTCTCGTGGTGGTTCGGGGGCCCGGGAATCAACTCTCCCTCTTTCTCTTTGCGCTTAGAGCTAGCTGCGCGGAGATATTTATCTGCGAAGAAGACTACAGCAGTAGTAGTAGCTGCTACTGCTGTACATAGATATCTATCTGGCGTTCGGTTGGTTCACACATAGTCTAGTCTACATCATCACGGTCGAAGAGCGCACGCGACTAGACGCAACAACAGAAGAAGATGAGCGAGGACCGCACCCACATGCCCCATCACCTGGAGCAGCAGCACCCCAACGCCAACAAGGGCCTTTTCGTGCGGCTGAGGGAAAACCAGGAGAGAGACAACACGAAGAAGGCGGGGGCGGTGCTGGCATCATTCATCAAGAGTAAACTAGCAGAACACCAGCAACAGCGTAGTAGCGGCCACGACGGAGGAAACAACACTTCCGATTCCCCCGCCGGAAAGGATCTCGCTGTGTTACGTCCCAAGCAGCAGCACGGCGGTATCTTGCCGCGGGAGACTCCTGTGCCTCCTCCATACTACGTCCGACAGCAGGTAAACCTTGACGGCATACGTATTATGACAAGTGTTTCGTGATTCTAGAAGGAATAATACTCCGATGGCTATTCGGCATTTATACGTCTACATGTAGAACGGGCAGTCTTTCTGTGTTTTTTATTTTTTTATTTTCTTACTTTGTGTTTGTATTTAATTAAGGAATAATAAATACACACACAGAAAGACTACCCATTCGAGATATACCCACAGTCTTCTTGTATTTATTTTTCCTAACATAATGCGTATGCGCATCTATGCTATGCTGTAGCAGACGACGCGGTCGTATCGTTTCGTGTACCGCATTGATTGGACATCAAACGGCTTTTCTTGACCTATCTGCTGGCGCGGCAACAGGCACACCATTCCTATTTCTGGCGAAGGCGGCACTTTAAAGCTTGATGGTATACGAAATGGTGTACAGTCTACTGCTGCTTGCTTGTGCCGATACACCTGCATGCCTCATCCAAGATACCTGTCATTAGATCACAGGTTTCCTTCAACCCCGGCCGTTCGGTGGCTTTCGCCGCCATGTTCAACGAAAATAGCCCCCAAGATACAAGATACAAGATTGATTGTATACACGAGCCCAAGGACGGATGGATGTCGACGCTGTACGTCTTTGTGCAAGCAGGGGTGTTTGATTGGTTGTGGCAAAATGACCGGCAAGCGGAATGAACAGCAAGTAGTCTTCTACTTTTTTTTTTCTGTATGAATCTGCTGTGCTGTTCCTTGGCTGCTGTATGTGTGGCTAGACCGAAGATTGACTTACAGTTGGCGGTCGGTGTGATTCGCCTGATCCACGATGAAAGAAACATGTTACAGTTAACTTCCTGCTCAACATATTATTATATCTAACCATTCATACATACATATGCGCTTGCGCGCCGTTTGTGAGCAGGGTTAAGAACGCCCACACTGGTGATATATATATATATATAGCGACCGTTTAAAAAGAAAGCTCACACTGACTGATGAATATCTACAGCGACCGTTTGCCCACAAGAGGAACTTACAACCCCAGCCTCGGCCTACACTGAAGGCTTTTTAAGTACGGGCGCTAACTGTATTGCGCCTATGGCTGTCAACCGCCACGCAACTGAGAGAGCCTGCCAGGTTCAAATACACGCCAAGCCAACAGGTAGTAGGTGAAAAAAACTCTGCACACCAGAAGGTACACCACACACACATACATGCAAACAACACCTTTTTTTTCAATCTTCGATGTGTTGTGTGTGTGTTTTCGTCCTATTTATTTTGGCGACAGCCCCCCCGCTTTTCAGTGCATTTCTTCGTACAACTACAACCATCCAGGGTCACACAGGTTTACTGTTATCTAAACGAGGTTTCGTTCACACGAGGCTTCGACATATCATTGCGCCTCTGTGCACGCACGTGGAACTCATCATCGAGCCAGCAACATACATGTGTACTGCGGCCACTCGCACGCACTGCCCAAATAACTCATGGCTGTTTTTTTGTCCTGGTTGTATTCGTGACCACCAATGGAAAACAGAAGAAGAAGCGAGACGAGGAAGTTGTCGTAGTCCGCCGAACGACACAGAGGAAAACGCGGGCGCCGCGGGAAGTCGTCAACGAGGAGGAATCCTGGCGCGAGCCCTCCCCCCCCCCGCGCCGTGACGCCATCAGCCCGGACTTCGAAACAGGTCATGGTGAGTGCTTACGGTAAAGGTTCCCTGAAAGGGGGCGAGAATAATACAGTGCACTACGTTGGGATCATCCTGTACTACAAGGGGGTGCCGATCAGCAATATATTTCGCGGCACAACAGGTGGCCCGATGAAGTGGCAAACTTGAATAGTGGACCTGTCGATATAGTGGCATCAACATCTCTTGTCACAATCTCAACATGTACATGAATGCGATACATCGAATAGTGGCACTGCTCCGAATAGTGGAATACCCTCCTCTTGCCCCTACATACCACTCACATATCGGGCCACCTACTGTACCTTCTTTTGCACCCAACAACAGACCACATGTATGTTTGGTCGCGCCACGATCTTGGAGGGCGGTGTGGGTCCATTCGCTGTGCCTCTCTCTATCTCTCTATTTCTCTCTCTCTCTTTCTCTCTCTCTCTCTCTCTTTCCCTCTGTCTGGTTTGGAGGGCAGGCATGAGGTCGCAACGCACCCACCTCCTCATCTCATTTTGTCGGCCCACCAAGACCTCTACCCTTCCAAATTCGTGCATACACGTATGTGTACCATTATGGGGTTGCGTCGAAAATCAATGCAATACATCAATCTTATTCCGGCTGTTGTCAGGGACAATGAGAACGTCTTTGTTTACCTTTGTTTCAGCCGGAAGGATCAACAATCTCGAACTAAACTGTAGCAGTGCCTTCGCTGTGTGGCTCTCGTGTATGGTTGCGATAACGCTCAACAAGCACGGACCATAAACAAACATAGCCGTTGCATACAATCGCCCCGCGTCGATTCTCCTTGCCCCCCCCGTGCCCGCCCGGGCGTTCACGCGCGAATACAGAGAGGTCACGGTACGCCGAGCGGGGAGCAGCCACGCTCAACAGACCCCGCCCAAGTTTCGACACCGCGGCGAGCATCACCACCATCGACTCCTTCGATACGTTGGCGGCCTGTGCGCCGGCCCCGACGCCTCGGACTCGCCCACCCCAACGCTGTCCGACCGTCGCCAAGAGCTCTTCTCGAAGACCCCGGGGCGCGAGCAACAGCGGCAACAACGGCAGCGGCCACATCCGAAACGACCCCGCGGTCGTAGTGCACGCGAAGCAACCGGCGATTACTACTGCGACGGTCGGCCAGGGGGCGGCACCGGCGCTGCCGGCACCGGTGGTGCGGTCCCACCCCGTCCACGCAGAGCCGCCGCCAACGTCTGAGCCGTCTGAGCCTAGGTGGCTAACGCCGCCCTCATCCCACTTGGAGCTCCTGCGCTCGAGAATTGGCGGCACGTCCCCCGTCCCCGTAGACTCGCACTCGAAGCAGTCTTCGACATTCTCCGGCCCGGGTGGCGGAGGACGTGCGCGCTCGAACCCGGGGGGGGAGCGGGAGGAGCTCGACGATAGCTGCAGCCTTGCGAGCATCCTGCCGGGGGGAAACCGCTTCGAACACCGGGACCGTTCCGAACCGACAAGCCGGAGGAGCGATGCTGCGCCGGGAGCGAAGCATTTCGGTACTCCGCCCCCCGGGCCGAGGCCACACCCGGGAAGGGATCTCGAAACGTCGCGACAGGACCAGGATCCGACTCCTCCCACGCCAGGAAGGAGGAGGGCGGGGGAGGGGGAGAAGGGTGACAAGAGCGGTGGTGGCGGTGGCGGTAGCGTTGATGGGGGGACGCCTCAGCCTCTGACGATCAGGGTCGCCTCGACTTCCTACCGCTCGAGCCCGCACAAGGCGCAGCAAGGGCGCCGCGGCAATGACAACTTCCCATTCTCTCCGTTGGTCGTGCATCCCTCTCCAACATCCGCCTTTGCGACTAGCCGCAACTCCTACCACACCGCGAATGTGAGGAGCACGGGCGGCGGCGGCGGCGGCGGCGGCGCCACCGCCGAGATGCGCGTGAGAATATGCGAAAACTCCGAGAAGGAAAAAGCGGCGAAATTTCCTTCGAGGGCAGCGGCGGCGGGGGCGGCGGGGGCCGCGGCTGTAGAGCCCGCGATCGCGGTGGATAAGCCCCCGGTGTTCATGGCACCGGGTGGTGAGCCGGGATCGTCCCCTTTTGCATCTCCCCCGGTGTGGGTCACACGGCATATCGACTGCTCAGACACGTGCGGGCTGGTGTTGGTGATGTCGGACAGCAGCGTGGGCTTGCTCTTCAACGACGGCACCAAGATGATATTCGGCCCCGACGGGGATACGCTGGATTACACGGAGCCCTCGTCGCCGCCGACCCACAAGCTCGAGTTGGGGGCGGAGGGGCGGGCACGCGGTGGTAGCGACGCCGCCGCCGCCGCCACCGACACCGCCGGGCTGGGATACCCACGCCGGAGCGCCTGCGATGGCGCCACGTCGTACAACTACACGTTGGACAGCTTTCCGTTCTACCTCCGAAGGAAAGTGGCTGCCGTACGGTACTTCCGCGAGCATCTCCTGCCGGAAGGCGGTAGCTTTGCGGACAGCACCGGCCAAGAGACTGGGTGCACATCGCCGGCGGTGGCCGAGGCGGCGGCGGCGGTAGTGGGGCAAGGCCGGCAAGCCCCACTGGCATTCATCGAGAAGTGGCAGCGCGAGGGGGATTCAGGTGGGTGGCTCGCGTGTGTGAAGGAGAGGCGCCGAGAGAGGACAAGGGATATAGACAGATTTATTTGCCGTTCGACATTGAACGTGTGGCGTGCTACCGACTACCACACGGCGATGCGTTCCTGGCCCGGGACGACCCTAATCCCTAAAGCTGC